AATTTTATTTGTAATTAATAATTTTATTTTATTTTATTTTATTTTATTTTATTTTATTTTATTTTATTTTATTTTATTTTATTTTATTTTATTTTATTGAACTGCATTGGAAACTCAGTGGTTTTAGTTCCTGCATTTTCATTCTTCCTAAGCATTTAATAAACCCCCAGGTTGTTTCATGGTGATTGAATTAAATAAATTATAACTGTAATAATTTGTTCTGGATAAAAACAAATACTAGATGATTGCTTTACTTATTTACTTTTTGTGCAAAATGGCTCTCATTTATAAAACAAAAGCTGACACACACACACACACACATACACAAAATAACATTTTGTTAATAAGACCCAATCAAATAGAAATTGACTTCTCTCTGTCGCTCAGATCTAATGTTTGCATCTACTGTATGTGTGTGTGTCACCATGGTTTAAGATAAAATAAAAGACTCTTTTTAAAAATATAATACAAGCTACAAAAAACATGCATTAATATATATATATATAATATTTACGCTTTATTAATAAACAAGTTTTGATTTTTTTATATATTGCGTTACATTCTATTACGTTACGTTACGTTACGTTACGTTACGTTACATTACGTTACGGTATATTGGTTTACATTTAGATTACTTTTTATTGGAAGGGATGATTACTGAAATATGCATTATTAACTATTACATTACATTTTGTTATGTTACAGTAGATTATATTATGTTACAATACTTTACATTAAATTACGTTACATAGCGTTACATTACATTACGTTATGTAATAGGTTATGTTATGTTACGCTATATTATTTTACATTATATTACTTTACATTGGGAGAGATTATTACTGGAATGTTCTTTAGTAACTATTATATTATATTACATTATATTATGTTACGTTTCGTCAATTACAATACATTTTTTCTGATATTTCTTTTTTACATTATATTACTTTACATTGGGAGAAATGATTACTGAAATGTACATTATCAACTATTACATTACATTTTGTAACATTAAGTTACACTACATTAAGTTACGATACGTTATGCTACGTTAAATTACGTTATGTAATAGTACGTTATGTTATGTTATGTTATGTTATGTTATGTTATGTTATGTTATGTTATGTTATGTTATGTTATGTTGTTTTACATTATATTACTTTACATTAAAAGAGATGATTACTGAAATATGCATTAAGGCTATTACATTACATTACGTTACATTATGTTATGTTATGGTTTGTTATGTTATGTTGTGGTATATTGTTTTACATTCTATTACTTTACATTGTAAGAGATTATTAATGAAATGTGCTTAGCAGATTTATTTATTTATTATAATTGTTTTAAATCCTCAATAGTTTTCAATAGTTTATTTTGTTTATTACATTTATTTATATTGTTCAAGTCACAAAGAGTTGTCATGTGCAGTTAGTTAACCCTCTTCTATCTCTCTCAGATCTGGTGTTTGGGGAATGAGACCCGTTTTCATGTGAATAAGACGGTGGACGCAGCGATCCGCTCAGTGGTGGTTGGGGGTCTCCAGGCGGGGGTCCAGTATCGGGTGGAGGTGGCCGCTAGCACCAGCGCCGGGGTCGGAGTGAAGAGCGAACCACAAACCATCATCATTGGTACCAGAAATGTTTAATTCTCAGCTTTTTATCTGTCAAACTCAACACTGCATGCCTGTTTCCACAAATTTCCATGATCCATCATTGTAAAATAAGAATTGATTAATCAATTTATCTTAATAATGCGATAGATATGTTTACTTATGTGGAAAATTACCGCTCTAGGCAAAGGACGGTTATGCCACCCTCAACCCTAAAGTGAAACCGGGGGGGAGGGTGTCGAGCGACGCCGCCCTCCCTATTCTGCCGCCCTAGACGCAGACATAACTGAGTGAGGGTGCGGGTGGTGAGGGTAGTGTCGCAGACGCCACCCTAGACGCAGATATAACTGAGGGCGCGGGTGGTGAGGGTAGTGTCGCGGACGCCGCCCTAGACGCGGATATAACTGAGGGCGCGGGTGGTGAGGGTAATGTCGCGGACGCCGTCCTAGATGCAGATATAACTGAGGGCGGAAGAGGTGAGGGTTGTGTCGGGGACGCCGCCCTCTGTATTCTGCCGCCCTAGGCAGCCGCCTAGGTCGCCTCTATGGACGCGCCGGCCCTGAAAATATGAAACATGCAACGAAATTCACCCTGGAGCAACATGTTTTATGTTTTTATTTAAATATTACATAATCAAGTGCTTAATGTACCAGTTAAGTTGACTAATATGCAATTTCATATCAAGTAATGAACAATCGGATAATATGATTTACAGCAGATACAAATTAAAATCAAATCAAATTTGTGTAGTAACATTCCTAAAAGTCAACCTACACCAGAATAAATGTTCATTTGTTTATTATTGATCATGGCTCACATGATGATTTAAAGTGGTTCAATTAAGTCAATATTTAAGTTAAACGTGTTTATTTTAATTTATTATGTTTATTTTAGATGCAAGAGTTTACTTAGCTGCGTATATTCTCTGTGTACGTTTTCAGCATATAAATGTTTTTTTATAGTTTTTTTAGACTATTTTTTGCATGGTAGTTGGTGTATACATGTTTTAGCCCCTATTTTGTGTGTACTCCACATTTATAAAAAATACCCCTGGACAGTAAACTAATGCCCCATTCTGTTTATCTCAAAACACAGCAGGAATGTGTTTTGGCAACATTTTTGCCTCGCATTTACCGTTCACTGGATGGTTTTGAGTCGGGTCACCGGAATCAGAATTGAATCTCACGGTCAGGGCCGTGGATTTAATTTTTTCCCCCCTGTGCCTTGTGTGTTCACAGTGTGAGTTATGTGAGTTGTAGCAGGTTGTGACTGGTTTGACCCATAAGTGATGATTTGGCCGGTGACATGCCCTTATTCCCAAATGTCAAGCTCACTATCCATCTTCACGCACAGCCAGGGGCTGATAGACTATTTATCAAGACCACCGCTTGTGTGGACGTGTGTGTGTCTCACCGTCTTTTCAGGAAAAAAAAATACTTAAAATAATAGAAAAGAAGCAATATTATAAGACAATGTAAGTGCAGTTGAAGAAATTATTAGTTCTGTGATTTTTTTTTTTTAATTCCCAAGTGTTGTGAAACGAAGAGAAGTTTTTTTTTTTCAAACAGGTTTTTAAACATAATATTTATAGTAACTAATTTAAAAAAATTAATTTATAAAATGTTTGCTATTATAACAGTCAATACATTATATTTTACTATTTATTTTACAAGACACTAGTTGTCAAATTAAAGTGCAATGTAAAAGCTTAGCTAGGTTAATTATGATAACCAGGCAGGTTAGATTGTATAATAACAATTGCCTCAGCTTGCTTGTTTGTTCATTCATTCATTCATTCATTCATTCATTCATTCATTTTCTTTTTGGCTTATCTATTTATTTATTTATTTATTTATTTGTATTTTATTTTATTTTATTTATTTTTATTTTATTTATTTATTTATTTTATTTTATTTTATTTTATTTTATTTTATTTTATTTTATTTTATTTATTTATTTTTATTTATTTATTTATTTATTTATTTTTATTTTTATTGTTTTTTATTAATTTATTAATTTTTATTTATTTTTTTTTTTAGATTCCAGCCAAACAAACAAAAAAAATGACCTTTGGAAAAATATATTAGAAAACATTCTGTAATGTCTTACTTTTTCTCTTCAAATGTCTGTATCGAG